GATGACTACCTTTTCCTTGAAATTGTCTTACCCAGCTTCCATAGTGCTCTGTTTGTCCTCCCACAGTCTCCTAGCTTGTTGCTCATCCCATTTGCTCTCTCTGCCCTTCGCCGTAATCCACTTCCAGACCTCAAGCTTTCATCTCACTCCTGAGCTGCTTGCAAGTATTTCCTACCTGGTCATTCCACAGGTACTTCAAACTCAGCATGTACAAAATAAACTCATGGGTGGAAGCTCTTGTCCCTACTTGAATCCTTTAATCTGCTCTTCTTCCCTTATTCCCAAGCTTTGTTCAAACAAGCAAAAAGTTGTATCCTTGACTTCAGATTTTTTCTTTCTGTGCCCCACCTTCAGCTGGTTCCCTTGTCCTACTGGTTCTCTTTTCTAAATGCCTCTAGTTCCTGTCCTCACCATCCCTATGACAGAGGTCTTTATTGTCTCTTGCCTGGGTTTTTGCAAGAGTGTCCCTCCAAGCTGCTCATCCTCCCATCTGTTCCCCACTCCACAGTACTGCCACTTACTAAGAGGAAGAAAGAAAATCAAAACGTGAGTTACTGGATCATCAAAAGTATTCTTCCTATAGAATAATGATAATTCTAGCCCTGGCATAGTGGCTCACGCCTGTAATCCCAGCACTTTGGGAAACCGAGTTAGCTGAATCACTTGAGTTCAAGACCAGCCAGGCCAACATGGTGAAACCCCGTCTCTACTAAAAATACAAAAATTAGCCAGGCGTGGTGGCACGCACCTGTAGTCCCAGTTACTCAGGAGGCTCAGGCGGAGAATCGCTTGAACCTGGGAAGTGGAGGTTGCAGTGAGCTGAGATCGCATCACTAGACTCTAGCCTGGGCAACAGAGCAAGACTCTGTCTCCAAAAAATAAATAAATAAAAATAATGATAATTCTGTATAAGAATATATTCCAAGGAAAAGGCATTCCTCAAGCATCGAGCTAGAATTTTGAGTGTTATGTCAAGCTAGTGTGCAAGACCAAAGGCACTGCCAATAGGGCAGTTGGTCCTCAGAAAGAATAGGTGACATCAGAAACAGATTTAAGTAAACAGTGGCAAAGCATTGCACCTCCCTCCAGTAGAAATATATGACCCTGTCATAGGATTTTTTTTTTTTTTTTTTTGAGACAGGGTCTTGCTCTGTCATCCAGGCTGGAGTGCAGTGGTATGATCATACCTCACTGCACCTTGACCTCCTGGATTCAAGTGATCCTCCCGCTTCAGCCTTCCAAGTAGCTGGGACTACAGGCTCATACCACCACACCTGGCTAATTTTTTTATAGAGACAGGGTTTTGCCACATTGCCCATGCTAAGGTCATACATTATAAACACATATTGCACAGTGTTTTACATGCTGAGTTTATGCTCTGAATGGATATCTTTGCATCAGTTCTATGACTTTGTTAGTTTCAGCCCCTCAGTGTGAAAGACAAGATAGAAAAATTGGCTTATCTCTGGATACTTAATAATGCTGGTTAGAAGAACAAGTATGAAGATCACAAATCTGCAAAACCTTCTGAAAAACCCTGTTAATCAACAATGGGTGAAAGTAAATTTTATCATCCACTCTATCAGTGGTGTCAATGTTAATCAACAGAATGCAAGTACTTGTAGAAAGTGGCTGGCCGCTGGCCGGGCATGGTGGCCCACACCTGTAATCCCAGCACTTTGGGAGGTCGAGGCAGGCAGATCATGAGGTCAGGAGATCGAGGCCATCCTGGCCAACATGGTGAAACCCCATCTCTACTAAAAACAAAAATACAGAAAAATTAGCTGGGCGTGTTGGCGCACGCCTGTAGTCCCAGCTACTCGGGAGGCTGAGGCAGGACAATTGCTGGAACCCATGAGGCGGAGATTGCAGTGAGCCAAGATCGCAACACTGCACTACAGCCTGGGCGACACTGCGAGACTTCATCTCAAAAAAGAGAAAGTGGCTGGCCGGGTGCAGTGGCTCACACCTATAATTCCAGCACTTTGGGAAGCCGAGGTGGGAAGATCATGAGGTCAAGAGTTCAAGACCAGCCTGACCAACATAGTGAAACCCCATCTCTACTAAAAATGCAAAAAAAATTAGCCAGGCATGGTGGCACGCACCTGTAATCCCAGCTACTCACGAGGCTGAGGCAGGGGAATTGCTTGAACCAGGGAGATCATGCCAATACACTCCAGCCTGGGTGACAGAGCAAGATTCTGTCTCAAAAGAAAAAAAAAAAGAAAAAGGAGTAGGAGGTAAAAGAAAAAAGAAAAAAAAAAGTGGTGCCTGCTCTCCGCTGTACTGGTCTGGGAATGTTTGGCATGCTGCTGACAAGTTAAAAACAATATTGAGGCCGAGCATGGTGGCTCACGACTATAATCCCAGCACTTTGGGAGGCTAAGGAGAGCAGATCACCTGAGGTCAGGAGTTCGAATCCAGCCTGGCCAACATGGCAAAACCCCGTCTCTACTAAAAATACAAAAAAATTATCTGGATGTGGTGGTGGGATCCTGTAATCCCAGCTACTCGGTAAGCTGAGGCACAAGAATGGCTTGAAGCCAGGTGGCAGAGGTTGCAGTGAGCCGAGATTAGGCCATGCACTTCATCCTGGGTGACAGAGCAAGACTCCATCTCAATTTAAAAAAATGAATAAAATAAAAAGCGCATTGAAAGTACCAATGAAGTTTTTCTGACAGTAAGAAAAACATGGTTCTGAAGGTGAAGCAAACAAGCATCCCTTACCTTTAGGGAAAAGGCAAAGGAAGAGGATTCACCTAAGTTACAGTTGGCCAATAAACAAGAAAAATGTGCAATTTGAGTTATAATCAAGTGCCAAACAAGGAAATGCCATGGGTACTATTTTTCCTACACACCGAGCAAAGATGTTTAAAAGTACAATAGGATTCAGCCCTGCTGAGGGTAACAAAAGGAGGGTGCTTTTCCAGTGAGGCTTGGTGTGGAAGGCAAATAATAAAGGGAGCATTCAGTAATTACACCTCTAGGAATCAGCCGTACGAAAATGCAGGATGCAAAGATTTATGTATGAAGATATTCAGCCCAGCCTTATCTTTTAGATGATGATGTAACTATCAATAGCAGAATGGGCGAGATATCTACACACCAGGATATTATGCCACCATGAATCGCTGGGGGAAAAATGTGATATGTAAGTATTTAGGGATGTAACATGTTCATCGAGGAAGGGAGGCTACAAAAGTACCTTAATGAGCTTTTTTTCTTTTTTCTTTTTTTGAGAAAGAGTTTCACTGTTGTTACCCAGGCTGGAGTGCAATGGCGCGATCTCGGCTCACCGCAACCTCCGCCTCCTGGGTTCAGGCAATTCTCCTGCCTCAGCCTCCTGAGTAGCTGGGATTACAGGCACGCGCCACCATGCCCAGCTAATTTTTTGTATTTTTAGTAGAGACGGGGTTTCACCATGTTGACCAGGATGGTCTCGATCTCTTGACCTGGTGATCCACCCGCCTCGGCCTCCCAAAGTGCTGAGATTACGTGAGCTACCGCGCCCGGCCCTTGATGAGCTTTAAATTTTTCATGTTACAAGTTAGAAACTCGTCTAATTTGAAAGAAAACCACACCTAGGTGATCGGCATTTATTCACCAACCACGTGACTTGGGCAAGTCATTGAAATCTTTTTTAGTCTCCTCCTCTGCAATGGCGACAATACTTGTTATACAGGATTATGGAGCTTAAACGGGATAACTGGTGTTGAAAGGTTCCAGGCCCGTGATCAGGGCTCAGTGTTCCTTCCCTTGCCCTTTAGTGTATGGCTTTCTACATCTGGAGAGGATTCGCACCAAAGGTCAGTTCCAAGGTTCGCTTCCTGGATGAGCGAGGGAAAGTAGGCGCTAACTTTCCTATTCACCCCCGCCGGCTACCGGCAGCCGGGACTCAGGGAAGCCAGGTTGCCCCTGCGCTCTGAACTCCCTCCCCGCCCGCGTCCCTCGAATCCAAACGGCTCGCGGCTAGGCAGCGCTCAGACAACGTAGCTGGCTCGGGAGGGGAGTCCCTTGAGGCTGCCGCCACGCCCCGCCACGCACAGACAGTGACGTCACTCCCGCCCCGCCCCGCCGCCGCTCCGTCGCTTTCCAGGCCCCACACGCGAGGCCCCGCCCCGACTCCGCCCTCGTGAGCTGCAGCCCGAGGGGCGGGGCTTTGGAGGAGCGACAGGATGCGAAACCAATCGCGGTGAGGCTTTGCGCCCCTGGCGCGAGTAGAAATTTTGCCGGGCTCAATGGGTCTCGAAGGGCCTTTTCGGAGTGAGATTGCCAGTGTTTGCGGGTGGTTGTTGCGCTCGGGGTTGTGTGGAGTAGGTCTGGACCTGAACTCACGACTGCTTGGAGCGTCCGCCATGAGGAGAAGGTGCGGGTTGCGGGGAAGTCGTGGACACGCGGGGGCGAGCGACGCCCGTCTCGGTTTCGGGGCCCGTGCGGGATCCCGAGCCTAGGGCATCACGGCAGCCGGCGCCGGCTGAGGCCGGGGGCGCAGAGGGGCTGGGTCTGGAGGCGGCGAGCCGGTGCGAGGGCCGCGGCGGAGGCGAAGCTGATGCGCTGTGCCTCGGCGGCCGCGGGTGCCTGCAAGCTCGGACGCCCGGGTGGGAGCCGAGCGCCGGTGCCGCGACGCGGAGGGGCGGGCGAGGCCAGGGGTCCGGGGCAGCCTTCACCCGGGCGGTCAGCGCTGGCGCCCAGACCCCACCCTCCCCGCCCGCGGAGTCTCAGGTGCCGCTTCTTGGCGCAGATGACTCGTTGTAAACCTGTGTTCATGGCTTCTCTTTAAATAAAGCTGTAAAGTTTATTTATCGTTGTTTTTCTTTGTTTTATTCTTTTATTTTTGTGGAAACGCGGTCTCCTCATGTTGGCCAGGCTGGTGTCGAACTCCTGGCTTTAAGCGATCCTTAAAGGATCCATTGGGATTACAGGCGAGAGCCACGGCGCCCTGCCGGCTGTTTTTCATTATATCTAGCCAGCGGTGGCGTTTTGTTCGAATTGGAAAGACGGCTTTGTTTCCTTAGAAGTTAAGAAACTCGGATTATGGAATTCTTTTCCGGTTGTTTTAACAACATTCTAAGCAGTGTTGGGGAGGGATTGTCCAACTTGAAATCGGGACCAGTCGGTGACACTGCCACTTAACAGCCTTGTGACTTCCAAATATTAACTTTATTTTCTGAAAGTTGTGGATGAAGTATGGTGATTGTAAGGCCGGTTGCCTCGCTGGGAGGTTGGATACACCCAACTCTGCACCTGGCACCAGGCTCTGCACTCGGCACTTAGCTCTGCCCTATGGCTCCCCTGGAAGGCTCCAGGTGATGCAAGGCTCCTGGCCGGTTCTCCCACCTGAAAACCCGCGCGGTCTCAATCCCGCTCCCCTGGAGTCAACCAGAGCACCCAGCTGTTGTTGATTCCTCCTAGCCATAAAAACCCCACGCCCCAGGAATTGGCGCGACTTCCCTGGCCCCTTTCCCCGGGACCATGGAACCTCGCCTGGGAACTGAATAAATTGGATTTTCATTTTCTTATATTGGCCTCACTTTCCTCATTTTAAACTCGGCAATAAACCTTACAGTGATGATACACCGTCAACTAATTTGTAGTTTTTGGTCGAACCAATTGTGCTAAGGCTTTGTAAGAGCCTTCATTTCATGATCACTAATTCTGATCAGTCCTTTTCAAATGCTTGCCCACAAAATAATGGGAGTTTAGTGCCAAATAGTGAAATCCGGTCTCAACTAAAAATACAAAAATTAACTGGGCGTAGTGGCACACGCCTGTAGTCCCAGCTTCTCAGGAGGCTGAGGCAGGAGAATCCCTTGAGTCTAGGGGGCAGAGGTTGCAGTGAGCTGAGATAGCGCCACTGCACTCCAGCCTAGCGCAGAGCGAGACTCTGTATCAAAAAAAAAAAAAAAAAAAAAAGTCTATTAACAGTTTATGAATTATTTAGGCATCTCCTCTTCCAAGGGATTGAATGAAGTGGGAGGAAGTTACCCTTTAATGTTGATTCCAGGCTAATGGATATAATTAGACCTTTTTTTTTCTTTTGAGACAGCCTCTCACTGTCACCCAGGCTGGAGTGCAGTGGTGAGATTGCTCACTGCAGCTTTGACTTCTGGGGCTCAAGCAAAACTCTGGCTAAAATTAATATTGTTATCGATGCCTGAAACAGGTTGTACAGGAGATCAACAAAGCTCCTTCTCTGGAGCGCTAAGAAAAAAAATAGGGCAGTAGATCAGTGAAGGCTGCCTGGAGGTAGGAAGTCATTTAGAAGAGGACCATTTTGAGATTTTTTCCAGTCCAGTGATTTATGTTCAAGGCTGAAAAAACTGCCTCATTTTACAAATTTTGTGTCCTTGAGTGGTAGTCTTTGTATGCACTCTGAGTTTTTCAGTGAGTTTAAAAAAAATCTCAGACTGGCTCCTTTTAGGGGATTACCTGAAACCAGGCAGTATTTAAGTGTATCATAATTATTGTTCACAATGATTACTCTGAAGCATCTTAAGATGATGCAGCTTTATTGAAATGTCACATTATTCATTCGAAAAGATTTCTGGGGCCTGGCACAGTGGCTCACCCTTGTAATCCCAGCACTTTGGGAGGCCATGGTGGGAAGATGATTTGAGCCCAGGAGTTTGAGATCAGCCTGGGCAACATAGCCAGACCCTGTCTCTATTTAAAAAAACAGCAATTTATAATAAAAAAAGGAAAAGACTTCTTGAATGTTTGTTATATACAACTATTCTAAGTGGCAGGGAAACAGCTGTGAGCAAAAGTGACATCCTTGCCCTCACAAGAGTTTATAGTTGGTGGTGACCTGGACCAGGGTGGGGGTGGTAGTGGTAGCAGCAGAGGTCAGGGGGAGTGAGATTCTGCCTGTCTTGTGTAGATAATGCTAATGGCGGGAGTATAAGAAAGAAGTGTCAGGAGGTTGAGCCAGGAGAATTGCCTGAACCCAGGAGGCGGAGGTTGCGGTGAGCCGAGATGGCGCCATTGCACTCCAGCCTGGGTAGCAAGAGTGAAACTCCGTCTCAAAAAAAAAAAAAAAAAGAAATGTCAAGGATTATATAAAATGTAAGTTAAAAAAATTAAGTTCAGTATAATTTGAATGTTAGGAAGAGTGAGAAATGTTAGTTTTTAATTCTTTGAAAATGATCCTCTTACAGGAACTGTCTCTAAATAGAATAACATAATGGGTGTTTGGAATTACCAAACATTTCCAAGAGGCCAAATAAAATTTGTTATATATTAGTAAAAATTATTTTTTGGGGACGGGGGATGGGGGGAGTCTTGCTCTGTCACCCAGGCTGGAGTGCAATAGTGTGATCTCAGTTCACTGCAACCTCTGCCTCCTGGGTTCACCAGGTTCAAGTGATTCTCCTCCCTTAGCCTCCTGAGTATCTGGGATTACAGGTACCTACCACCGTGGCTGGCTAATTTTTGTTTTTTTAGTAGAGATGGGGTTTCACCATGTTGTCCAGGCTGGTCTCGAGCTCCTGACCTCAGGTGATCTGCCCGATTTGGCCTCCCAAAGTGCTGGGATTATACACGTGAGCCACCACACCCGGCCATAGTAAAAATTTATGTTTTTCAATTAAGTTATAAATCAAAGAAATTTCGGAATATGTACCAAGATGTTTTAATAGCAGCTTTGAGGTATAATCCACATACCATATGATGTACTTAAAGTGTATAATTCAGTGATTTTCAGAATATTCAGAGCTGTGTAATCATCACTGCAATCAATTTTAGAACATTTTTTTCACCCCTTCAAAATCTCATTAGCAGTCAATCTCCTTTCCACCTTATGGTCCAAATTCTCTGCACCCCCAACTATAGATCTACTTTTTGGCTAGGCAAAGGTGGCTCACATCTATATCCCAGCACTTCGGGAGGCCGAGTTGGGAGAACTGCTTGAATCCAGGAGTTCAAGAACAGCTTGGGCAACATAGGGAGACTCTGCTTCTACAAAAAAATTTTTTTTAAGTTAGCTGGGTGTGGTGGCTCACACCTGTAGTCCCATCTACTCCGGAGGCCGAGGTGGGAGGATCACCTGAGCCTAGGAGGTTGAGGCTGCAGTGAGCCATGATCACATTACTGCACTCCAACCTGGGTGAAAGAGGGAGACCCTGTCTCAAAAAAAAAAAAAAAAAAAAACCCAAATCTACTTTTTACTGATTCTGGATATTTCATATAAACAGAACCATCACTGTGGTCTTTTTTGACTTGCTTCTTTGACTTAGCATGTTTTCAAGGTTTATTGCCAAATAATATTCCATTGTACGGCCATACACTGCATTTTATTTACCCATTCATAAGTTGATGGCCATTTGTGGTGTTTTCTCCCACTTTTCGGCTATCATAAATAATGCTGCTATAAACATTTGTGTTGTTTTAGTATAAATGTTTTCATTTCTTTTGGGTAAAAACCCAGTCATAAAATTGCTGGGTTGTATGAACTCTGTTAAAGTGAGGGGCTGGGTGCAGTGGCTCATGTTTGTAATCCCAACACTTAGGGAGGCCAAGGGGGGAGGATCGCCTGGGCCCAGGAGTTCAAGACCAGCCTGAGTAACATGGCAAACCTTTAACAAAAAACAAAAACTAGCCAAGTGTGATGGTACATGTCTGTGGTCACAGCTACTAGGGAGGCTAAGCAGGGAGAATTGCCTTGAGCCCGGGAGGTTGAGGCTGCAGTGAGCTGTGATCACACCACGGCACTCCAACCCAGGTGACAGTGAGGCCCTGTCTCAAAAAAAAAAAAAAAAAAAACAAAGAAACAACTGAGTAGCAATCAGACTGTTTTTTGTTTTGTTTTGTTTTGTTTTGTTTTGTTTGTTTTGTTTTTGTTTTTTTTTTTTGAGGCAGAGTCTTGCCCTGTCACCAGGCTGGAGTACAATGGCACGATCTCTGCTCACTGCAACCTCCGCCTCCTGGGTTCAAGCAATTCTTCTGCCTCAGCCTCTTGAGTAGCTGGGATTACAGGCACCTACCACTGCGCCCAGCTAATTTTTGTATTTTTAGTAGAGATGGGGTTTTGCCATTTTGGCCAAGCTGGTTTTGAACTCCTGACCTCAGGTGATGCGCCTTCCTTCGCCTCCCAAAGTGCTGGGATTACAGGTGTGAGCCGCCACGCCCTGCCTAGACTGTTTTTTCAAAGACGCTGCACCATCTTGCATTCTCACAAGCAGTGTCTGAGGGTTCTAGATTCTCTAGATTCTCACCAATACTTGTTGCTATATACATTTTTTTGTTAGAATCGTCCTGTTGGCTATGAAGTGGTTTTGATTTGCATTTCCCTAATGACTAATATGGAGCCTCTTTCTTGCGCTTATTGGCCATTTTTACATCTTCCTTGGAGAAATGTCTATTCAGATTCTTTGCCCATTCATTGTGCTAGATTTTTTTATTCAGAAAAATGGTCACTTTGCCTTTTAGATGTGTTACAGAGAGAGGCAGCCCTGCTTGCAAACCTTTGTCAGGATCTGAGAATGCATAATACCTCTATTAGGTTAGGTAGGTTAGGAGCACAGGACCCTTTGGCAGGAATTCAGGGCCGTTCATTTTACATCTGTTGAACAACTACTATGCATTAGGGTGTGGTAAAATGAAGATGTGGAGGTCCTTGCCCTGGAATGTATGGTCTACTGGGGGGCTGGGGGAAAATGGGAAGTGAGTGACAAGTCCACGGCTCTCCAGAGGAGGTGGTGGCAGATAGAAGGGACTGAAGGTACAAAGCACGGTGGCATGAAGAAATGAGGGCTGCATGAAACCCAAATGAGGACTGCATGTGGTTTATTGAGGGCCATTTTTCCGGGAATGGCCGAAGACTTGGGAGTGACAAGTGGGAAAGATAAGCAGACAGGCCTGGAGAGAGGTTTGAGAAGGCTTTTCCGTGGAAGGTGGTTGAACTATTTCCCGAGGACAGTGGGGTCTTTGAAGGGGATCCCTTAGCCAGGGATCTGATGGGATTTGTTGTCATGACAAACTAGCTGTCATGTGGAGATGGGCTAGGCAGGGTTAGGTCTGTCAGACGGAGGAGACTCTGGGACACTTACTGAAGTAATGACTTCCAGAGCAGTGCCCCTAGCTGGCCTGTCTCAAAGCCAGGGCTTTGCATCCAGGTTGAATATTGGCCACAGATTGGAACTTAAGAGTTATTTTTAATAAAATGTTAATATTAGGATTTTAACTCGTGCATTCTTTTGTCTTCAAAATGAAGTGCAAAAGGAGTGTTTGCCTGAGGAAGCTCTTTAGTTGAACTTTAGTTGAGATTGTATTAAATAAATGGCTTACTTACTAACATTTCTTTTTTTCCTTCTGTTGGACTTGAACTGTCAACATTTTTAAAGTGAAGGGAGTAGAATGAATTATTTTAAACATTTGTCAATATTTGGGTATTGGTGGTATGGCCATCTGGCATAGGCAACAGGTATTTGTGTAGAAACGTTTCTCAAGGACGGGCAACCTCTAACTGGGATTTCATGGCTAGAGATATTTTGGATATGAATGTATTAACAGCTTTGGAGAGACATTGTTAGAGATTTAGGCTGGTGACTTGTAGAACCACTGAACTCTGTGAGACAGAAAGGACCTAATGAAAGTTTCTAGCTCCAAGGTGGCCTGCCTCGGCCTCCCAAAGTGCTGAGATTACTGGCATGAGCCACCACACCCGGTGGGTTTGTTGATTTTCATTGCTGTGTTATTACATTGTGGGAATGTACTATTCATTCTGTTGATAGACATCTAGCCTGTTTCTGTTTCCATGCTTTATGAGTAATGCTTCTCTGACCATTCTCATATGTGTCTTTGGTGAACATGTGTGTTCATTTCTGCTAGTTCTGTCTGTAGAGGTAGAACTGCTGGGTTCAGCTTTAGGAGATAGACTGCCAACAGTTTTAAAAATAGTTGTACCAATTTACACCATGCCAGCAGTATATGAAAGTTCTCACTTTTCTCTATATTCACCAACACTTAATGTTGTCTTTTTAACTTTAGCCATTATTTGAGCTGCTAGTTGTATTGTAAGAATAATGGGCCAGGTATGGCGGTTCACGCCTGTAATCCCAGCACTTTGGGAGGCCAAAACGGGTGGATCACTTGAGGTCATGAGTTTGAGACCAGCCTGGCCAACATGGTGAAACCCCGTCTCTACTGAAAATATAAAAATTAGCCAGCATGGTGGTGCACGCCTGTAATCTGAGCTACTTGGGAGGCTGAGGCAGGAGAATCACTTGAACCCGGGAGGCAGGGGTTGCAGTGAGCCAAGATCACACCATTGTACTCCAGCCAGGGCAATGGAGTGAGATTCTGTCTCCAAAATAATAATAATAATGATAATAAATAAATGAATAAAATAAAAAGGTCGGGCACGGTGGCTCATGTCTGTAATCCCAGCACTTTGGGGAAGCCAAGGCAGGTGGATCACCTAAGGTCAGGAGCTCGAGAGCAGCCTGGCCAACATGACAAAACCTCATCTCTACTAAAAATACAAAAATTAGCCGGGCATGGTAGCACACGCCTGTAGCCCCACCTACTCAGGTGGCTGAGTCAGGAGAACCCAGGAGGCAGGAAGAACCCAGAAGGCCGAGGCTGCAGTGAGTCAAGATCATGCCGCTGCACACCAGCCTGGGTAATAGAGCAACACACTGTCTCAAAGAAAAAAAGAACAACCAAAAACTAGTAATAAATTGCCAGATATTTTGTAGGAGCTTCTCACCAGCAAGTTCTTGTGTTAGTTTATTTTACCAACATTTTTGTCTGGTTTTCTTTAGTAAAAGTATTTATAATTCTGTATTCTACTTCCATAGGTAGATGACTGATGCAAGTCCAGAAGGTTGAGTTTCCATGATGTAATCTGATATGAAATCTTGCATTGCTGGTGACATCTGGCAGGAAAAGGGATGGGGAGTGGTTAAAGGTGAATTAAGCTGGATGCTTGTTTTCAATGTGCTTTTGACTCGAGGCCAGTGGGAAGCTAGTCTTTTTAGTAGAGACGAGGTTTCACCATATTGGCCAGCCTGGTCTCGAACTCCTGACTTTAGGTGATCTGGCCGACTCTGCCTCCCAAAGTGCTGGGATTACAGGCATGAGCCACCATGCTCGGCCATGAGAAGCTAGTCTTTTTGGTTCTTGAAAATAGTGCTTTTAGTCTAGAGGCTGTGACTGATGTAACTAACAGGCCTTATTTTTTGGTTTTCAGTGAGGTGCTGGCGGAGGAGTCCATAGTATGTCTGCAGAAAGCCCTAAATCACCTTCGGGAAATATGGGAGCTAATTGGGATTCCAGAGGACCAGCGGTTACAAAGAGCTGAGGTGGTAAAGAAGCATATCAAGGTGGGTTGAATAGTACTGGGCTGTGCACTGGACCAGGGTAAGAATGTTGGTGTCTCACCTCAGATAGCATACAGAAGGGATATGTGATCACAGCGTTAGGATAGCACAGGCTCTTCCTGTTTGGTTTTGAAGTCCCTTCTTGAAATTTGATGAGGCTGGGCACAGTGGCTCATGCCTGTAATCCTAGCACTTTGGGAGGCCGAGGCGTGTGGATTGCTTGAGGTCAGCCTGACCAACATGGTAAAACCCCGTCTCTACTAAAAATACAAAAATTAGCCAGGTGCAGTGGTGGGCACTTGTAATCCCAGCGACTCGGGAGGCGAGGCAGGAGAATCGCTTGAACTCGGGAGGTGGAGGTTGCAGTGAGCCGAGATCTCGCCATTGCACTCTGGCCTGGGTGACAGAGTGAGACTGTCTCAAGAAAAAAAAAAAAAGAAAAATTTGAGGAGTTTGGTGTTGGGAGTTTTTTTCCTCCATAGCCTCAGTATTATGGACTGTTTTCTCCCTTGTAGGAACTCCTGGATATGATGATTGCTGAAGAGGAAAGCCTGAAGGAAAGACTCATCAAAAGCATATCCGTCTGTCAAAAAGAGCTGAACACTCTGTGCACCGAGTTGCGCGTCGAGCCATTTCAGGTCCGTGGCGCCCACAGGGTCTGTAGGGAAACTGCAGGGCCTGAGATTTAGGAAGCAGCATTGACTTGGGCCTGTAGCTGATGAGAGGCTTCCTGGTGGGGGTGGAGCTAGACATGAGAAATGGGGAAACATGGTGCAACATTAATTAGGCCCTGCAGAGGAATTCTCGCCTCTGTGGAGAGCTGCCCTGGTGGATCAAAAAGATGCTGCCGCTTACCGTAGTTTTGCTTTGGAGGGAATATTAGTTTTTTTTATAATCTCTGAAAGAAAGGTAGGTATAGATACTACTGCACTGTTTTTTCTCTGAAAGAAAATGAAAACAGGAAGCAAAATTAACTAATGATAAAAAGGAATACTACCAAAAAAAACAACCTTTGTGGGTTTTATCATACTCAGAAGCTGCATACACTGAACCAACCAAAATAGCTACTTTAGAAGAAATGTCTCAAAAGCTGGAATATCAGGAGTGCAAAGTGCAGTTCAGAGCATGCCCTGTCATCTGTGGGTGGATGGAGCTCAGAGGTGGCTGTATTGTGGGTCACTGCAAGTTGGACTTGAGTGAGGACACCAGCAAGGATGAAATGAAACATGGGGTACTGAAACATCTCTGCTTAGAACCAGTGGAAGCAGTGCCAGGATCATAAAAATTCGGACAGATGTGGAGCTTGGAAAGATAATGAGTGCAGCCAGAAGGTTCTCAGGTCCCTCCTCCTGTTACAGGAAGACCTGCCTAGGTATCTGTTTGGAGTTAGCCTAGGAGGGAGATCACCTTTAAAGGGCAAAGAATAATCCACACCTGGTAGCCAAGAGCAATCAGGCAGAGGAGAACATGAAGTGGAGCTTCCTGGAGTCAACATAAGTGTCTTAAGTATAATAGATTAGTTCACAATGTTAAATGAAATTGTGTAAATTTATA